CCAGTCCAGATGGGGTGAGGTCTTCTGAGGATGACTGGAACAGTGTTGGAGATGAAGGTACAGTCGCTGGGAGCTGCTGGTCAGAACATTCCTGCAGGATGGTCCTCACCCATCTCTGGTGTTTGTAGCAGAACTGAGGTGAAGAACCAGAGACTCCTGAGGAACTTCTCTTCTTCTTCTTCTTCTTCTTCTTCTCCATGGGACCTGTGTCCTTATTGGACCTCAGTAGAACCCCAGAGGAACCGAGTGTCGGAGCAGGTTCTTCCAGAGTCTCCACTTCATTCTGTCCATGACGTGGAGACTGAGGAGAACCCACTGAACCACAGGAAGCAGCATCTACAGAAGGAAGAGAGGCCGCCGCAGCTCAACGTCACGCTCAAGTGTTTCAGTCTGAAGGAGCAGGAAGTGGCTAGCTCTAGTTAGCGCTGACGCTAACTTAAGGCTAACGTTTCACCTGACGACAATAATCTGTTTTTTTCACTGTTCTTACCCGATTTTGAACTATTTTTACAGTATATATACAGTATTTACTGCATAAACATGTGGAAAGTCATATCAAAAGATTAAATGTCAAAGAGGAAGCAGAAGAGCAGTTTCAAAATAAAAGAGCTTTTCATTTACAGTTTTATCAGCACAGCTCATGTCACCTGACTGACCATCACTGTTTGGGTCACTGTGACCTTGATGACCTCTGGACTTGTTTACAACCTGTTTTTTTTAGAATGTTGTCTGAACTGAAACTTTTCTGTGATGAAATAAAATCTCAGACCATGAATGTGTGTGATGTGTTAAGTAGAAGGAATGTGTATGTGTGTGTCCTACCACAGCGCAGCAGTGTCTTCAGTGTCATTAGGACGGAGGCGGAGTCTGAGGAGATGATGTCCAACAACCGCCGCTCCTCCTCAGAGACTGGACTGGTCTTCAGGATCTGAACACACACACACACACACACACACACACACCTTAACTATTACAAACGTCTAATCTCAATCCTCACTGTAACTCTAATCCAGACTAAATCTTAAACCTCATCCCTGATATCTGACGAATGTCCCAATAAGTATAATCTTTACCTCAAACAGCCCCCCCCCCGCCCACACACACACACACCTTGTCGATGACGGTATCTGCAGGTAGCGCCTCCTCCAGGTCCTGCAGGTACTGCAGCAGCCTCTCCTCTACTTTCTGGGCGTAATGTTCACCGTACTGTTCCTCCATCAGGTTCTGGAAGAACAGAGAACACACAGGTCACATGGTCAGGTCACATGGTCAGGTCAAGTCAGACTAGATCAACTAGAGGTCGATTATGGATTTGAGCTGATTTAAACGACAGAGTTGATTCATTGTGATTGGTCAAGAACTGAGTAAAAAAATTAGTTGTTAAAAAAAAAAGTTAAATACAGTACCAAAGTCACGTGACTTATTGCCCTTGAGGTCCTGAGGGGCAGGAAACAGAGGCATCATGTAACAAATGTAAAAACAAAAACAGTTCAGTCACATGATCTCAGCCCTTTATTAATGAACGACAATAGACGGGCGTTAATGTGTTTGACTTCAACAGTTACAATTTAAAAACCATCAATGAGGGAGTCCTGATGTTCT